TGAATATAAAGTTTGAAAACAAAGGTGGGTCCTTGGTACAAAGTTCCCCAAAGTTGTGTCTCCCACCTCTTTTTCCAGTATTGTATATATTTTAGCAATTTATCACATATCATGTTGGGGAAAATCTTTTCATTCTACTCGGAACATAGAATTCATTATTTTTACTAATTAATAAAATTCTTTTTGTCAACCAAAAGATGATGGAAAAGGCAAATTAGTCTTCTATCACATTAAAAAAATGATGGGCAATAATGTAATTTCCCATATCTAAATTTTACTTTTTTTTATTGAAATCTCACCAACATGTGATGTCAAAATACCTCAAATATTAAAAAAATAATAATAAATAAATAAAACCAAAAATAAAAACCTCTCACTCTCCCCAGGTCCTCTCTTCCTCTCCCTCTCTCCTTCTCATTTTCTAAAAAAATGTGTTCATACACACGAAGTGTGTAGGCAAATGCTAGTATGTTATTAAAAAGGTTAAGAAAGTTTTATTTTTGAAATGTTATTCCACTTGTATAATAACGTGTAGTGTATCATCCCATAGTTTGGGGACACTACAAAATCTCTCCAGGTTGGACGGCAAGAATATTTTGGAATTGTGATGGCAAAAATATGCTTTAGGAGTCATCAAAAGGAAATGTGTAGATGACAAGAAAAGCAATTTCCTCACTTATTTAGAGGCTTTTGTTTGGCCAACTGGAACCAATAAATCTGGAAAATAAGTCAACTGGATCATTGTTTATTTTGTACATTTGCATCACATGCAGACGTAATACCAACTATGCTAGCAATGTTTGTATCATACAAAATCGTTTGGGTTTGAACTAATCTAATCCAATTAAACAATTATTTTCTATTTACTATCATATTTAGATTTGTTGCTGTGTTTTGTTCATTTGCTTAATGCACATCACATCGTTATTTAATTTCGTTAATGCTGTTGTTTAACTAGGCGATAATGGCTAATTAATTTGGATTAACACCTATGTAGGAAGCTGATCGGAGCAAGGTACTTCAGCAAAGGATACGCCGTGTATGCTTCCACGGTTAACTCCTCTGCAGCCAAGTCCATCCAGCCCAACGCTCGTGACCATGCCGGTCATGGCTCACACACCCTTTCAACGGCAGGTGGTAATTTTGTTCCTAGAGCAAGTGTTTTCGGTAATGGCAATGGCACTGCAAAGGGTGGATCCCCAAAAGCTCGCGTGGCTGCGTATAAAGTATGCTGGCCTCCAATCGATGGCAACGAGTGCTTCGATGCAGACATCTTGGCCGCATTTGAAGCTGCAATTAATGATGGTGTTGATGTGCTCTCAGTGTCTCTTGGTGGTGAAGCTGCGGAGTTTTTAAGTGATGGGATTGCAATAGGGTCCTTCCATGCTGTTAAGAAGGGGATTACCGTGGTGAGCTCAGCTGGGAATTCAGGTCCTACTCCTGGGTCAGTGTCGAATGTGTCACCGTGGATGCTCACAGTTGGAGCTAGCACGATTGATCGCGAGTTCTCCAGTTATGTTACTCTTGGCAACAAGAAGCATCTCAAGGTATATAAATCTAACACCCTAATCGCTAGTCGTGCGTTTATTGTAACGAGTAATGCTATAGGGGTCACCTTAATCTATGACATGATATGGTAGTCGGTGTGCAAATACACAGTTTTGTGTAAACAATTAACCCTAATCGCTGTTAGTCTGTTCATCATCACGAATAATGCTAGAGAAATCACATTGATTTACAACGCGAACAGTTTAACATCCTTACCGTATTCTTGTTAGGCATTGTACTTCAAATGAAATCCTTTACAAGTATGAAAATTCTTCTCGTTGTACTGATAGTATTCCAACGTTTGTTACTAGGGAGCAAGTCTTTCCTCTACAGCTTTGCCAGCTAAAAAGTTCTACCCATTGATAAGTGCATGCGATGCTAAAGCTGCTAATGCGTCTGGTTCTGAAGCGTGAGTAACATCAATTTTCAATGATATGCCGTGCATAATGTACATTAACTGTATCTTCTCGAACTTCTTCAGCCATCTCTGCAAACCTGGAACCCTCGATAAAAAGAAGGCAAAGGGGAAAATTTTGGTTTGCGTTCGAGGGCAAAATCCAAGAGCCAACAAGGGTCAACAAGCTATTCTTGCAGGCGCTGTTGGAATGATTTTGGTTAATGATAAGCTAAGCGGGAATGAAATCATAGCTGATCCTCACTTGCTTCCAGCTTCACATGTTAATTATTCTGACGGAAAATCTGTCTTTGCCTACATCAAGTCGACCAAGTACATATCCTGATCTTTCATTTCATGTTTTCTTTACCTGAAAATTTCATGATTAATCTTCTAGCCTCTCATTCAATGAAAATCCATCAGGAATCCTATGGCTTACATTAATCGTGTAAAGACAGAACAAGGAACAAAACCAGCTCCATTTATGGCTTCATTCTCTTCAAGGGGACCCAACGCCATTGAGCAGTCAATCCTTAAGGTATTCCTTTGAAATTATTATGTATAAGGCTTCTTCAAATTAGTCTGTCTAACTTATACTTGTTTGCACATCAGCCTGATATCACAGCGCCAGGAGTGAGTATAATTGCTGCTTATACTCAAGCAACCGGGCCAACTGGTCAGAAGTTCGATAACCGGCGTGTATCTTTCAATACACAATCCGGAACTTCCATGTCGTGCCCTCATGTATCTGGAATTGTCGGTCTTTTGAAAACCCTTCACCCGACATGGAGCCCTGCAGCTATTAAATCTGCAATCATGACCACCGGTACAAGTTTCCCCTTCTGATTTAAGGCACCATAATTTTGTCACACTTGTGTTCGAATGGTTAAGTTTATTCGTTGGTTCCTTCTACAGCAAGTAAACGAGATAACAGCAAGGGCACAATGCTGGACTCATCCAAGGCCAGAGCAACACCGTTTGCTTATGGTGCAGGACATGTTCAACCAAACCGTGCGATGGACCCTGGACTTGTTTATGACCTAACTACTGATGATTACTTAAACTTCTTATGCGCTCGTGGCTACAATGCAACGCTGCTCAAAGTGTTTTCTAAAGAGCCACACAAATGTTCCAAGGCATATAGTCTTTTTGATTTTAACTATCCTTCTATAACAGTTCCCAATCTCCGTGACACGCCAGTGACTGTGACTAGAAGGGTTAAGAACGTCGGCTCTCCAGGCACATATGTAGTTCGTATTAAGGAACCGGTGGGAGTTTCTGTTACAGTTAAGCCTAGTACCTTGCAATTCAAGAACAGTGGCGAAGAGAAGAAGTTCAAGGTTGTTCTGAAGCCTAAGGTTCAAGGGCCTGAAGACTACGTATTTGGAGAGTTAAATTGGACGGATGGGAAGCACAATGTCAGGAGTCCTATTGTTGTCATGCACTATCAGAGATGATAAAAAAGTTCAATTCATGTTCATCATTGTTTAGAGCCTTCAAGATATCTGAATTTTAGGTTAGGAAGATGTATTTAAACGTCTTTTCTGTCATTCGGAAAAGATTTACTTATCGAAAACATCAGTGCAAAATAAGGGGAATAAAGAAGTTGAAGTATTCAGTTGGTTATCACGGTACACATGTTATATAAATTTTATAGTTATGTTAACTTCTGCAATTCTTGAAGAAGAGAAGAAGAACCCGCAGGGATTGCAAGTACTTAGCTAATTACGCTTACCCCGCGTTTCGATGAGGAAATTTAAGGGTCATAATTTTTATTCCAAAGTCATATCTTTATTTATTTTTTCATCTGTACAAAATTATAAGTATGAAGTTACACCACCAACACTCCAAACAACCAAATTAGATACTCATGCACCACGAACAAACGCCAACCCCCTGTTAAACTTAAGCAACCGCACACCGTGAACCAAAATAGATAGGAACTTCATACTCTGAGATGCACCACGAAAATGTGGAATAGCATCGTATTCAAGTGCCAGAACCTGATAGTTTCATTTGAACATAATTTTCGGTGTCTTTAAAAATAGAAATACCCTGATTAATTAATATAACAAGTAGAGATGTCAAAACAGATTAGAAACACGGAATCATCAGTAAGTAGGAAAAGAATTAAATAGTAGGGAGGACAGGAAAGAGTAGATACAAAAACAACAGAAAGTTGACCAGCTTGGAGACCAGTGATGAGATGGGGAAGTAGCAGATTTCGTGGGATGCTGCCATGAAAATAGAGTTTGGAATCGATTCATCTCTCAGCGAATACAGCACGATCAAGTACATACAGATTGTCCATCTCAGCAATGCAATTAAAAAAAATGCAGCACATAAGAACAAAATTTCACTTGCAAATTGTAATTTGGATTCCTTGAGAAGGCAAATTTCAATAGAAAATCATCCATAAATGCTGCTAGTATACGAAAGAACGTCATATATCGCTCTAACAAGCCTCTAGAGACCAGTGCCATTGTCTCTAAACTTTAATCTCTAGCAGCCTCCCACACTCTTACTGCAAATGCAAGTTCACATGCCAAGTTTAATAACTAAAGGAAAGCAGAAACAGTAGGAACACAAATCGGCTTGATTCAAACAAGGTATCACTAAATCCCTATAAAACATGACAAGCAAAGAGACAGGCACATGTTATGAACATTTGCTCAAATATTTCAGACTGTATATACCAACCTGTGCTGATCATTAGACTTCTAGTAATATTCAATTCGTGATGCTTGTCATGTCGTGGCCAACAACGATGTTCTAGCGTGCCATGATGCAAGGGCTACCGTGTCAAGATAAGCCATGACAAGCCATGCCTAGCATGCAATATGCATGCCATGACATGTCATCACATGCCCACAACAATATTTTGGCATGCCACGATGCGAGGGTTAGTGTGTCAAGACAAGTAATGACATGCATTTTTATTTACAGGTGTTCTTACCGGTAAGTGTTAGGGAATGCCTTAGGTTAGTGCCAGGTGTCATTAGTAGAGTAGAGAATATGGAGTTAGTTATAAGGTGGTTGTATTTATATATAAGTAAGGGATGTAAACAGATTGATATAGATGTGGAAAATACATAATATTCTTTTACTCTCTCTCTACTTCCTCTCTCTACATTTTCTCTCTGTACATTCATTCATTACTGTTGACATGGTATCTTCGTCGGCAAAGGGTAACACCGTCGTCGGTTCCTGATCCCTGTGCTTCCGCTCATCTTGTTAGTGCTTTGTTCTTGGTAATAGTTGCTCTCGTTCCGTCGAGGATCTCAATCGGTGGCTGAAACCCTAGAAAATTTGGGGCTTTTTCGTCTGTCAGTTGGTGATTGTTCTTCTTGAAATTCCTTCGTTAATTGTTGCTGTCGTGTGTTTCTTGAAGGCATTGTGGTGTAGTTTTATCGTCATTTTGTCTCGCTCATTTGCGATTGTTGCTGAAGTTGAATTGTCGAGATTTTCTTGATATTATCTCGATTTGAGATTATTGCGTTGCTTGATCTGGTTTCTTGATGTGCCTATTGCTTGCATATGTATTGTTGTTCGTCTGTGGAGAATCCTGTTGAAAAGTTGTGTGTTTTGGTTGTTTTCTGAGTCTTGAAGATACGTTGATCTTTTACAGTTCTCATCATGGTTACAGTTGCTCAATTAGCACTTACTCAATCACCAATTTCTTCGTTGATTCCTAGTATTGGTAACAATGTCACTGTCAAATTGGATGATTCCAATTATGTTACCTGGAATTTTCAAATGGGACTTTTATTAGAGGGAAATGGAATTCTTGGTTTTGTGGATGGATCCATTCCTTGCCCAGATAAATATCATGATTCTGATTCTGAGGACGAAACTGTTACTAATCCACACCATATTACTGATGATTACAAAGTATGGAAGATTCATGATAAAGCTCTCATGACTCTCATCACTGCTACATTGTCCACTGCTGCTCTGTCCTGTGTTATTGGTTGTCAAAGTTCACAGGAAATGTGGAATAATCTGAGGGAAAGGTTTTCTAACCTGACTAGAACCAGTATTGTTCAAATGAAGATTGATCTGCAGAACATAAAGAAAGGGTCAGAGTCTATTGATTTGTATCTGCAGCGAATCAAGGACTGTAGGGATCAACTTGCTGCTGTTGGAGTGCTTATTTCCGATGAGGATATTGTAATTGTTGCTCTTAAAGGTCTTCCCCATGAGTTTAATACTATCAAGGCAGTTATAAGGGGCAGAGAGAATCTTGTGTCTTTAAAAGAATTGCGATCCCAATTGAAAGCTGAAGAGGCTACTTTGGACGAAGTTATTAAACAGGCTCCTATAATGTCTGCTATGTATGCTTCTAATTCAGTCTATGATGCTGGGGGATCATTTGGTGGTGCAGCACATAGTGCATCTCAGCATTCTTTCAATGGTTCACATTTTCCGATCTCTTCAACCCCAGTGCTTCAACAAATGCCATTTCCTAATCAAATGTTTCAGATGAATAGTCATCTTGCTTTTGTATCTCAGGGTGGTTCAGGGACTTATAACAATTTCAGGGGGAATAACTTCAAACCAAATGGGAAAGGCAAGAAATTTTATAATAATTTTCAGCAACATCAACAAACTGGTGCTTCATTTCCACAGCAGTATTCATCAAATAATTTTCAGGGCTCTTCTTTTCAGTCTCTCCATTCTCCTATGCCTACTGAGCAAGTGTATCAACCTTTGCAGATTTGTCAAATATGTAATAGGAAAGGTCATAGTGCTCTTCATTGTTTTCAAAAAGGGTGTCAAATTTGCAATCGGAAAGGGCATACTGTTGTAACTTGTTTTGATTGAAATAGTGGTTCTTCTTCAATGGTGCCTCCCCAGTTTTATTCATCATCACAAGGGTTCTCTCCACAGCAATTTCAACGCTCTCAATAGGCTACTTTTCCTGCACAATTTCCACCTGCCCATATGGTTTATCCACCTCAGTTTCATCCTGCAATGATAAGCTCTCAAAATCATTCTCCGGTTACTATGACTGCGAGGTCTACTTCTTCTCCCTCTGCACCACAGCAAGAGTATTGGTTACTTGACTCAGGGGCCACACATCATATGACTTCTGATTTGTCTAACATTCAAATGGCTGCTCCTTACTCATCATCTGATATTGTCACTGGTGCTAATGGAGAAGGTTTACATATTGCTCATATTGGACATTCTAATCTTCCATTACAGTCTCATAATCTTTGTTTAAAATTTGTCTTACATGTACCTCAATTATCACAACATTTATTGTCCATGCATCAACTGTGCAAGGATAATAATTGTAGGTGTATTGTTGATGAGTCTTCTGTGTGCATACAGGACAAGGTCACTCAGGAAGTTCTGTATCGAGGATTGAGTAACAATGCTGTCTATCCTTTACCAGTAATGAAGTCTTCTCATGTTTCTCCTGCAGCATATATTAGACAAAGAATAAATTCTGCAATCTGGCATTGCAGATTGGGTCATCCTGCTAATTCAGTAGTCCAGGCAGCTCTTTCTAAGGCAGATATTCCTTTTACGTGTCTCAATTCTTCCCATACTTGTAAAGCTTGTTTACAAGGCAAATTTGCCAATCTACCTTTTCCTTCTTTGGCTTCCAAGTTTGTAATTCCTTTTGAAGTCATTCACACTGATGTTTGGGGTCCGTCACCTAGTTTGTCTATTGAAGGATATCGGTATTATGTGTCCTTTATTGATGAATGTACAAGGTACACATGGATATGTCCTATCATGAATAAAGCTACTGTTTTTGGTCTGTTTGTCCAATTTCAAGCTTTTGTGCAAAATTTCTTTAATGTTCATATCAGAATATTGCAAAGTGATGGTGGTGGAGAGTATATTGGGATTAATTTTTAGAATTTTCTTAAGGACAAGGGTATTTTGCATCATAAGTCTTGCCCTTACACTCCTCAACAAAATGGGCTAGTAGAGAGAAAAAATCGGCATATTACCGAGACAGCTATCACTCTTCTTCAACAAGCTTGTCTTCCTCCTAAGTTTTGGTACCATGCATGTGCCACAGCAGTATATCTTATTAATCGAATGCCTACACCTGTCTTGTCTATGAAGTCACCTTTTGAAGTGTTATATCATTCTTCACCCAAACTCGATCACTTGAAGATTTTTGGTTGTGCTTGTTATCCATCATTGAGGCCTTATATATCTCATAAGCTTGCACCAAAGACCAGTGAATGCATATTTTTGGGATATGCTGCTCAGTATAAAGGGTTTATCTGCTTTAATCCTAAAGACAATAAACTCATTGTCTCTCGACATGTTCTATTTGATGAAAGTCATTTTCCTGCAACTTATATGGCTAGTCATTTTGACTCTGGTTCCAAGGTGGCTTCCATATCTTCCACCGTACACTCCAATACTTTTCATCATCCTCCTTTAGCATCTATACCGTTTCCCCAAGTGTTCTCCAGGGATTCAAGTTCTCAGCATAATCCTCCAGTATGTTCTTCAGCACCAAGTGAGTTTGTTTCTTCTAGTACCATTCCCTCACTACCAGGGGATATTTCAATGGATCACATGTTCGGTGCAGCTATTTCTGGTCAAGTCATGTCTGAGTTACATCCTGATACTCATATGTCTCAAGTTTCTGAGTTGCAACAAGTTTCTATTGCTACTGTTAACTCTCATCCTATGCAGACTCGATCCAAGTCGGGCATTTTTAAGAAAAACAGGCCTTTTCTGTTGAAGTTCAATCTGGTGATCAAGAACATCAGTCCTACTCTGCAACATGTAAATTGTCAGAGTGGCGAGGTGCAATGCAAGAAGAAATGGATGCTCTTCAACAGAAAACTTGGACCTTGGTTCCCCTTCCTCCAGATAAGAACTTGGTTGGGTGTAAGTGGATTTATAAGATAAAAAAAAACATCATGATGGTACTGTTGCTAGGTACAAAGCCAGGTTAGTGGCTAAGGGGTTTTCACAAGAAGCTGGGTTAGATTATTATGAGATTTTTAGTCCTGTGGTTAAACCTACCACAGTGAGACTTCTCCTTTCTTTAGCTGCTTCTAATGGCTGGAAACTCAAACAATTGGATGTAAAAAATGTTTTTTTACATGGCTTTCTTGACGAGGAAGTCTTTATGGCTCAACCTCAGGGTTTTGTAGATCCTCTTCACCCAACACATGTGTGTAAACTCCAAAGATCTCTATATGGGTTGAAGCAGGCTCCCCAAGCCTGGAATGAGCGTTTTACCAAATTTCTTCTCACTTTGGGCTTCAAATCATCTTATGCTGATCCATCCTTGTTTGTCAAGTATGAGAATCAATCTATTGTTGTTCTTTTGTTGTATGTGGACGACATTATTCTTACAGGCAATAATGTTGCTGAGGTTCAAAGTGTGATACAACAGTTGACTGCAGAGTTTGATATGAAAGATCTTGGTCTTCTGCATTATTTTCTTGGTTTACAGATTGAGTATCGTTCCAGTGGTATTTTTGTTCATCAATCCAAGTATATCACGGATTTGTTACACAAGGCAGACATGTTCCATTGCAAGCCATGCATTACTCCATGCCATCCTAATCACAAGCTGTTGAATCATGGCAGTACCTTATTCTTAGATCCTTTCAAATATCGGAGTATCGTTGGGGCTCTTCAATATCTAACCTTTACTCGACCTGACATAGCCTATTCAGTGAATCAGGTTTGTCAGTTTATGCATGCTCCTCTTGAAGATCATTTCATTGATGTTAAACGGATCTTAAGATATCTCCGTGGCACTATGCATCTTGGTATCAATTTTACACATGGATCTCTTGATATTAAAGCATATACTGACGCTGATTAGGCTGGAGACCCCAATGACCGATGATCCACAACTGGTTTTGTTGTGTTTTTTGGTTCTAATCCTATTTCTTGGAGTTCCAAGAAACAACATACAGCTCGTCTACTGAAGCCGAATATCGTGCTATGGCCACCACTACTGTTGAAATAGTATGGATTCAACAACTGTTACTGGATTTGCATATTTCATGTCAATCTGTACCACTCCTTCATTGTGATAATCTTTCTACTATGGCATTGGCTACTAATCCTATACTTCATTCCAAAGCCAAACACATCGAGATAGATTGCCATTTTGTTCGTGAAAGAGTTCAACAAGGGACAATCATGCTTCAGTTTGTCTCTACCACAAAACAGTGTGCTGATGTGCTCACCAAAGGTTTATGTTCATCTCAGTTTTAGGTTCACTGTTCCAATCTTATGTTGGGTTCTTCCCTTCATAAGATTGAGGGGGAATGTTAGGGAATGCCTTAGGTTAGTGCCAGGTGTCATTAGTAGAGTAGAGAATATTGAGTTAGTTATAAGGTGGTTGTATTTATATATAAGTAAGGGATGTAAACAGATTGATATAGATGTGGAAAATACATAATATTCTTTTACTCTCTCTCTACTTCCTCTCTCTACATTTTCTCTCTGTACATTCCTTCATTACTGTTGACAGTAAGAACATGTTCAATATTTTCTTCATTCATTATGTGGTTTTCTAACACCAAAGCTTCGTATAAATAGAAATCTATGGTGCGAAAAGGATTCCAAAGTTTCTTTTTGCAGCTTCGGTGATAGCGCAGCAGCTGAACAGTTACTTCCAGTCACGTATGAAACTATCAAGTGAGATAAGCACCGAACTTTCTAACATATATTTCAATCACTTCAGCTGTAATAATTTGCTCTACAAAAATGAGGCATTGAACTTTGCTACCGGTTCTGCAATGGCAAAGCACTCCAATAAATTAACTTTATACGAAAATTAACTAACAAGGACTTGGCCATGCGTAGTTCTACTTACCAAATGACTGGAAAATTTGTAGTAGTTCGTATAACTTTAGAGATATGAAACCCAAATCGCACGCCTTTGTGCAGTTAAACTGAAAGTCTGCATGAAGTTCGCAGCCTGAGCAGTGTGAAGGAAGTAATATCAATTAGAAATAAGTATAAATCCAATGCACACAATCCAAAAGTGAGAAAAAAAAACTTACCAATTGGCATGCAAGGTTGAAGAAATCTCGCAATCATAAGCAAGACTTCTTCAAGAAAAAATTTCAACTACGAATACCATTCTCTATAGAATCGGCACTGTTCTTTGGCATCAGGGACATTCTACAGACAAACTTTAACAGCCTATAAAATGTGGTAACACCAAACAAATCACATTCCTCTTTTCATCTTTCTACCACATTTTAGTTTTATTCTTTTTTTACACTTTTGTTTCGACCAAGGTCTAAAATATCGATGATATCGGAAATATCGGTAGTCCAAAAACACGAAAATTTTGATGGAAATATCGGGATATTATCGATATCGATAAAAATTGAATAAAAACCACGGAAATTGTCAGAAAAACTTGGAAATTTGAATTGAAACTTTGCAGGATGTTTATTTAGTCAATTATCTATTAGTTTATCATAAAAAAATTGGAAGGAAATGCATTACAAGATGGATTTAACCGATTTAAGTTGATTATATAGATAGCTGGCAAACATTGTGAGTGTAGAAAATATGTAGTAATTAATGAAAGAAGTTTAAACACACCATAATCATTTATATATAATGAATTAGTACAATATTTTACAATTTATACATTGCATGGTAAGATACATGAGTGACTTAGTACCACATAGAGTTCCTATGAGGTTCAAAATTTTCACTATCTTCATCATCTCTATGTGTAGAGTAAGTGTATTGTGAAGAGTAGTCATCAAATGATAAATCCCCAAAATAGTTTTGCATGTAATTGTTAACATGCCACCCATATGGATCCGAGATTGGTTGACGTTGTCCATAAACAAAATCATTTGAAGATTGAGTCTTAGATTCTTTCTATGAGTCGCTCGATTCCATCCCAACAGGAATGGGATATGAAGGGTAGGGAAATGGTTGGTTATGAGTATAACCATGGTTACTACTTCCCACTCCAACAGAGTTCGAAGTTATAGATAACGAGTCATCTTCTTGACTTGACAAAGTCCCCTTGCCTCTTTCTCTACGAGTATAGTTCTTCCCTATGGCACCAATTCCTAGTCCTGCCCTCCTACTGCCATGGTCCTCATCCTGTGTTGCATGCGTGAAGTTTGCCTTACCAGTGAAGGGGCTCATAAATCCGAGAGGTGGTCCAACATAGTTTCCATATCCACAACTACCTCCAGCTCCATTATATCCTTCATCATTCTCACCTCCGGTGGTAGGTGAGTCTCCTGATCTTGTACTAGAGCTATCATTAGTATCAGCAGGATCTTATGGTTGTGTAGGATTGGAAGAAGGTGGAATTCCAGTGTTTCTTGGTCTTGGGCGCAAAAGTTCTTCCAAAGAGTCAGCGCTGCTAGATCCCACATTCTCCTCTAATACGCTTTCTACACTTATCCCTTCATTACGTGCTTCTTCAGAAACTCTTAGAGCTGGGTTGCCTTCATCATCATCTAAATGAAGAGGTCTAATCCATTGATAAAGTTGGTTACCCTCTGTATCATCATCTTCAGTAACAATATCAAACACATCTAGTGGGTCACCACGGTCAACATGATCTATTTCTGCTTCCTTATCTCGAATTTAAAGCTTCATGTTGTAGTAGCAATAAACTAATTTTTCCAACCTACTATGAGCCAACCTATTTCTTTGCTTTGTGTGTATGAGTGCAAATGTACTCCAATTTATTTCACAAGCAGATGAGGAAGCTGTTTGTGATAATACTTTGATTGCTAACTTTCTCACAGTTGGTGCATCAGTCTCATACATGATCCATCATTCAGCTATAATGAAAAACAATGTTGATAAGCCTAATAACTCCAACAAATTCTATTATAAACTGATAGTGAAATATGTTTACACTGACTAGGAGACATTTTTGTTCGAGCAGCAACTGATGTTAGTTCTCCAAAAGTTCTTCTTGCATCTTTAAACCATGTTAGCTAAATTCAACAAATCGTGTTAGTTTAATCCAACAATGTAATTATTATAATTTAAGTAATTATGTACCTCATTTCCAAATTGGCCAACTTCTGGTGATGCAGGGTCTAATTTAGAGTATACATTATGTACAGCACGTATAAGGGTACCATCATCTCCAACACCGGGTCTGTATTGGTATCGAGGATTCAAATAATATGTTGTTCAAAGAAACACCTACTCTAATAAGAGAAATAATACTTATGCAACTAAAGAAATGAATTGCAAATTATGACATAATTTATACCTGCTACATGCAAATCGTGGTATAATGTTTTATATCATCGGTCATTAATTATCTTTATGACCCACCTTGCACCATGTTTTCTTTCCAAGTCATCATTCACTACACGCATCAACTCATATATTGCCCCCATAGTAGGATACACTTCTGTATCAATGATCCGTAAAACTTTGTAAAGAGGTTCAAACATTTGGCACACATGTTCTGATTAAGTCCAAAAAGCATGATCAAATACTATACTTTCCACCATACGACCTGCATTTGAGCGGCTGAAATTGTGGTTGGCCCAATCGTCACTAGTGAATAGTTGCTTCAATCTTGCTTTCTTCTTAAGTAGGTTGTCTAAAATAATATAGTTGGTGGCGAATCGAGTGGTAGCTGGACGAATAATTTCTCCTTTGCAAAATTCACACATCTTTGCCAACAACCAACCGTGATTGTAAATATAATTTGTGATCGTTCTAGCTCTTTTTGCGATAGTAGAAATATTCTCTTTCTTCCCCATTGCCTCAAACATGAGATCAATACAATGTGTTGCACATGATGTCCAAAACACATTATGATGCTTCATTAACTTTTTTCCAGCTTTGACAAATGCAGAACCATTGTCGGTTACAACTTGGACAACATTATGCTCTCCCACCTCCATGATTACATCCCTCAATAATTTGTAAATATACTTGTAGTTCTTTATATGGTCTGAAGCATCTGTTGATGAAGCATTACGTGCTGACTGTTTGGAGGCACGTAATGCTTGTTTCAATTATCTCCCCGTCTCAACAGATGCTTCAGACCATATAAAGAACTACAAGTATATTTACAAATTATTGAGGGATGTAATCATGGAGGTGGGAGAGCATAAAGTTGTCCAAGTTGTGACCGACAACGGTTCTGCATTTGTCAAAGCTGGAAAAAAGTTAATGAAGCATCATAATGTGTTTTGGACATCATGTGAAGCACATTGTATTGATCTCATGTTTAAGGCAATGGGGGAGAAAGAGAATATTTCTACTGTCGCAAAAAGAGCTAGAACGATACAAATTATATTTATAATCACGGTTGGTTGTTGGCAAAGATGTGTGAATTTTGCAAAGGAGAAATTATTCGTCCAGTTACCACTCGATTCGCCACCAACTATATTGCATTAGACAACCTACTTAAGAAGAAAGCAAGGTTGAAGTAACTATTCACTAGTGACGATTGGGCCAACCACAATTTCAGCCGCTCAAATTCAGGTCGTATGGTGAAAAGTATAGTACTTGATCATGCTTTTTGGACTTAATCAGAACATGTGTGCCAAATGTTTGAACCTCTTTACAAAGTTTTACGGATCGTTGATACAGAAGTGTATCCTACTATGGGGGCAATATATGAGTTGATGCGTGTAGTGAAGGATGACTTGGAAAGAAAACATGGTGCAAGGTGGGTCATAAAGATAATTAATGACCGATGATATAAAACATTATACCACAATTTGCATGCAGCAGGTATAAATTATGTCATAATTTGCAATTCATTTCTTTAGTTGCATAAGTATTATTTCTCTTATTAGAGTAGGTGTTTCTTTGAACAGCATATTATTTGAATCCTCGTTACCAATACAGACCTGGTTTTGGAGATGATGGTACCCTTATACGTGTTGTACATAATGTATACTCTAAATTAAACCCTGCATCACCAGCAGTTGGCCAATTTGGAAATGAGGTACATAATTACTTAAATTATAATAATTACATTGTTAGATTAAACTAACACGATTTGTTGAATTCAGCTAACATGGTTTAAAGATGCAGAAGAACTTTTGGAGAACTAACATCAGTTGCTGCTCGAACAAAAATGTCTCCTAGTCAGTGTAAACATATTTCACTATCAGTTTATAATAGAATTTGTTGGAGTTATTAGGCTTATCAACATTGTTTTTCATTATAGCTGAATGGTGGATCATGTATGAGACTGATGCACCAACTGTGAGAAAGTTAGCAATCAAAGTATTATCACAAACAGCTTCCTCATCTGCTTGTGAAAGAAATTGGAGTACATTTGCACTCATACACACAAAGCAAAGAAATAGGTTGGCTCATAGTAGGTTGGAAAAATTAGTTTATTGCTACTACAACATGAAGCTTTAAATTCGAGATAAGGAAGCAGAAATAGATCATGTCGATCGTGGTGACCCACTAGATGTGTTTGATATTGTTGCTGAAGATGATGATACAGAGGGTAACCAACTTTATCAATGGATTAGACCTCTTCATTTAGATGATGATGAAGGCAACCCAGCTCTAAGAGTTGCTGAAGAAGCACGTAATGAAGGGATAAATGTAGAAAGCGTATTAGAGGAGAATGTGGGATCTAGCAGTGCTAACTCTTTGGAAGAACTTTTGCGCCCAAGACCAAGAAACACTGGAATTCCACCTTCTTCCAATCCTACACAACCACAAGATCCTGCTGATACTAATGATAGCTCTAGTACAAGATCAGGAGACTCACCTACCACCGGAGGTGGGAATGATGAAGGATATAATGGAGCTGGAGGTAGTGGTGGATATGGAAACTATGTTGGACCACCTCCCGGATTTATGAGCCCTTTCACTGGTGAGGCAAACTTCACGCATGCAACACAGGATGAGGACCATGGCAGTAGGAGGGCAGGACTAGGAATTGGTGCCATAGGGAAGAACTATACTCGTAGAGAAAGAGGCAAGGGGACTTTGTCAAGTCAAGAAGATGACTCGTTATCTATAACTTCGAACTCTGTTGGAGTGGGAAGTAGTAACCATGGTTATACTCATAACCAACCATTTCCCTACCCTTCATATCCCATTCCTGTTGGGATGGAATCGAGCGACTCATGGAAATAATCTGAAACTCAATCTTCAAATGATTTTGCTTATGGACAACGTCAACCAATCTCGGATCCATATGGGTGGCATGTTAACAATTACATGCAAAACTATTTTGGGGATTTATCATTTGATGACTACTCTTCACAATACACTTACTTTACACATAGAGATGATGAAGATAGTGAAAATTTTGAACCTCATAGGAACTCTATGTGGTCACTCATGTATCTTACCATGCAATGTATAAAGTGTAAAATATTGTACTAATTCATTATATATAAATGATTATGGTGTGTTTAAACTTCTTTCATTAATTACTACAAATTTTCTACACTAACAATGTTTGCCAGCTCTCTATATAATCAACTTAAATCGGTTAAATTCATCATGCAATGCATTTCCTTCCAATTTTTTATGATAAACTAATAGATAATTGACTAAATAAACATCCTGCAAAGTTTCAATACAAATTTCCAAGTTTTTCTTATAATTTCCGTGGTTTTTATTCAATTTTTATATAATATCCCGATATTTCTATAGAAATTTCCGTGTTTTTGAACTACCGATATTTCCGATACCATCGATATTTTAGATCTTGGTCTTAACATATTCTGTGAACGAAAGATATGATACGATGTAGGACTACCTTCGACAGCAAAGCTTCCATCTTTTCTTTCAAATCCAAATAGGCGTACTGTGCTTGCTCGTAAAACCTACATTTGTGGACTGCTGAGGGAACAAATGTTTTGATTTCAGTCATGTCTTCTACAGTGTAAACTTGCATCAGCCCGTCTCAAGATATTTAGACAACAAAACTGTGACCACGTCTAATAATAAATGGAGAATAATCATAACCAGATCTCAAAATACCTGAGCATCCAAGATGCTTTCCAGTGCAGATATTTGAGCCTCAGAATCCATGGCGGACGAGGCACTAGAAAATTAGAAATTAGAAAGGATCTCCTGAATATTTTGCATAACAGATTGTAGAATTTCACTAGCTATGAAGCACCAATATCTGACCGTTTCTTATGACAGGGGATTCTGTCATCCCAAAAATCTTTGGCCGGTTCGCAGATTGGTGATAAAAATCCTTCAAAAACAAGAAATTAGTCACTCAAATGTACTTGAATACAATTTTTTTACGTATGTTGAAAATTGATGATCTCCTACTCATTAGTGAGTAAGCGATCAACATTGTGTACGTACATGTGTGTATGTGCTTAAAATAGCTTCAATGGTGTTTCGCAGCACAATGCAGATGCTCAACTTGGCACACGGTCCGCTAAACTACCTTCATTATTTTCGTATAGGATGATTGCCAGTAGCGCGATGACATTCGTCAAAGATTATCAAGCTAAACATTTCTAAGTTGAAGAAAGCATTCCTCATGACATCCAAGAGAACCTGTGGTGTCATGACCAGTATCTGCAGCATAAGAAGAAAATAAATCAGTGATTAGTTCTAAATCTCGGAAATAGTTTGTACAAAAAAAGCTGATTAAGCATCGATTAATGATTACTTGAAAACCGAAGAAAATTAAACTTACATCATGTCCGGCACAATCCCATTCGTTGTTGGCCATTTAACATTTTGAGGAAGTTGGGATTATGCCTTGTATAAGGCTGCCATGGAATCTAGAAAATTCATATTATGTAATGCAAATTAAATAATTTAGAATAAGCCAGAAGTGATACAGAAAAGCCAGAAATTATATAAACTTATACAAACTTAATGATTTCGTCTAAGGGTGACACGCCTCAACCCAGATATCAAAATGATATTTGGATGGCACGTGTTGGCCGACACTCAAGAGTGACAAAAGCCATAATTATATGAATATGCAGGAACATAAGAAAACATGTAATCGAGAAGTTGTGTGAAAAACAACAATCATAAAGAATATACAAACGCTAATGAAATAGCAATGATAAAACATTAGTCATAATATAAGGATAATATCCAACTGTTAACAATCTGAAAGAAAGGATGCATGAATATGTTGAGAGCATACAACTAAACAAGAGTGTTAGTGAAATGAAAGACATTAAGTTACAATTATACATAAAAATGTCATATGTTGAGAGGAGAACACAAGATCACTGGAAGGGAAATGTCTCAATGCTCGAGTCGTATTCCTCTTCACTAGGTCTTGAAGGGGGCACAAAGTTTATAATAATAGTAATAATAAGAAAACCATTTTATATCTGAACATACTAACCCCACCATTTTGAAAACAATATAATACTACATAATAGGTTTTTCCGAAACTGTAACATTCCCTGCAGCACAATTTCCTTGTTAATTGTGAAATCTTTTGTCCTTCTAAACTTTGTTTTTGGTTTTTTCTCATAATCATGAATACTCGTGGTGGGAATGTACCTCGTGGTGGTAATATACCTCCTTGTCCTCGTACTGATGTTTTGAGTGGAATTCATCAATTGGTTGTCGCTCTGCAACATGCATTCCCTAGGAATAGCGAGCAAAGCCGCACTTATGTGGAAATTGCCTTAAGTCATAGGTGCATATGAGGAGGCCAAGGAATGGCTTGAAAATGTTGAAGATATTTTTGAATGTATAGATTGCCCTGCAGAGAAACGGGCGAAGACCGCAGGGTATTTTCTTATGGGTGGTGCAAAAATTTGGTGGGAGTCTACGAAACGATCTCAACCGCCTAATCAGCCAATGACATGAAGTACTTTTCGAAGAATCTTTTCATATTATTTTATGAGTCCTCAGTATAAAGCAAGTAAGAGACGAGAATTCTATGCGCACTGCCAGGGCAACATGTCGGTAACAGAACTTGATTGTACTTTTAGACGATTGGCGAGACACGTTCCCTCTGTTTATGAGCACCCACAAGAGATGATGAACCAACTTGATATTGCTCTAGATGATGACATCCGCAACTTTATGTTAGCACATGAGTATAATTCTTATGAGAGTATGATCAGAGCAGCTTTGAGAATGGAGCGGTCACTTTTGAATTGCAGCAGTCATAATTTGACTCGAAATCAGTTTACTCGGGGTCAAGGTTTTTTATCTCGAAGCACCAGGGAGTCTTCATGTTCTTCTACTATCGGCCCTAGACACTCACTATCATTCAAACGTCACGGTTAGGGTTTGGGATCTTCTAGTGAAGGATCGGGTAATAAGGTGTCGAGATAGTTTTTTAGTCATTTCACACCAGCCGCTCTGATTTGTATGCGTTCTGGCAGACGTCATCGAGGAAATTATGCTGCATGGAGTGACTAGCGCTTTAGGTGTGGAGGCGCTAGACATTATGCCGTGATTGTTCTACTGGTCAACCTACCGAAGGTATTGCATCTAATTCAGTTTATGGAGGAAGTGGTAGCTCGGGTACTTAGAATCAGAGTCAAGGACAACATCAGAATTCAGAAAATGCGTTGGCACAAAGTTTAGTCAATTCGTATTAAAATATTATTAATTTTTTTTTATAAAATAAAAAAAATTGTTTTAATTTCGGATAGAATTTTTAATTAATCTTGTCACGTTACATGTCATTATCCGAAAGTATTACTTTGTGGATAGATTTCCGATAAGATTTTCAAACAATCCCAACGTGTCACATGTCACTATCTGTTTACAATAATTTAGTCAAGATTTCGATAAGATTTTCAACCAATCACGTAATGCCACGTGGCATTATCCAAAACCTCATTCTTTCTTTTTTTGTCCATATAAACCCTACATCCATTCTTATTCATACACCAATCTCAAACAAGCTTAAAATCTTTTTCATTGTTTTTAAATCTTGAGTTCTTACGATGTCTTCTTCAAAGAGATTGTATGAAATCGATGAGCAACAGAAAAAATTGTTGCAGAACAAGAAGAATTGTTCAATCTCGAGGAAGGTGGAGATGAGGCTTTCACAATGGAAGAGGATGAGGATGATGAACATAGAAGGCAAAGAGCCTCACATTCCCGTCGTGTCATGGAAGTTGTGGGTCAGATATCCAAACCCAAACGTGCGGCAAACTTTGATAGAAAGATGGAAAGACGAGGTAAAGATCTCTTGGAAGATTATTTTATCCCCAACAGTTTATTCCCTGATCATACTTTTAGACGTCGTTTTAGAATGCAACGAAGTTTGTTCGACAAAATCATGATTGTTATTTGCAACCATGATCCATACTTTGTGCAAAAAAATGATGCTTATCATGTTCTAGGTTTTCTTCCTGAACAAAAAATTAATGATGCCTTGCGAATGCTTGCATAGGAAGCATCTGCAAGTCAAGTGGATGAGATAGCGAGGATGGGAAAATCAATTGTTATGGAGTCCCTGATGAGGTTTTGCTCCGCAATTGAAGCCCTCTATAACAATGAGTACATCCAGAAACCCACGACAATGGACCTACGAAGGTTTTTGACGAAGGGTAAGATACGAGGCTTTCCTGACATGATTTGAAGCATCGACTGTACACACTGGACCTGGAAAAACTATTCAAGTGCGTGGAAATGAGCTTATGGCGATAGAAAATGAGCCAAAAGTATCATTTTGGAAGCGGTGGCTTCATTTGATACATGGATTTGGCATGCTTTTTTTGGTGTCCCAGAAGCTCAAAATGACCTTAATGTCCTTGCCTAATCTCTAATGTTTGATGAGGTGCTACAAGGATAAGCACCGAGAGTCACATATTAGGTCAATGGCCATAAATACGAAAGAGCATACTACCTAGCAGACGACATTTACCTAAGATGGACAATGTTTGTCAAAATAGTGCCACATCCACAAAGTGAAAAAGAAAAACACTTCATAAAATGTCAAGATGGGTGTAGAAAGGAGCTTGCAGGATATCAAAACAACGCTCCAAGCTTACAGGATACCGAAACATTCTAGCAGCAGCTTTGACAATCGCCCAACGAGATTGCAAGATACCAAAACAACGCTCCACATCCTTCCTACACCCCTCTTAACATTTTGCGAAGTGTTTTTCTTTTTCACTTTATGGATGTGGCATTGTTTTGACAAACGTTGTCGACCTTGGGTAAATGTCGTCTGCTAAGTAACATGCTCCTTCGTATTTATGGTCATTGACCCAATATGTAACTCTCGGTGCTTTTCCTTACAGCACATCGTCGAACACTGGAGATTGGGTAAAGACATTGAGGTCATTTTGAGTTCCCGACACACCAAAAAAAGCATGCCAAATCCATTTATCAAATGAAGCCATCGCTTCCAAAACGATACTTTTGGCCCATTTTCTGTGGCCATAAGCTCCTTGACACACACTTGGACAGTTTTTCCAAGTCCAGTGCATACAGTCGATACTTCCAATGATGCCAGGAAAGCCTCGCATCTCACCCTTCTTCAAAAGCCTTCGCATGTCTATTATCGTGAGTTTTCGGAGGTACTCATTGATGTAAAGAGCTTTGATTGCGAAGCAAAACCTCATAAATAACCTCATAAATGACTCCAGAACAGTTGATTTTCCCATTCTCGTTATTGCATCCACTTGATCTGCAGATACTCCATATGCAAGCATTTGCAAGGTAGCAATAATTTTTTGCTCAGAAAGAAGACCTAGAACATGAAAAGCCTCTTTTTTTTTTTTTGCACAAAGTATGGATCATGGTTGCAATTAGCAATCATGATTTTGTTGAACAAATTTCGTTACATTCTAAAACGACGTCTAAAAATATGATCAGTGAATAAACTATTGGGGATAAAATAGTCTTCCAAGATATCTTTATCTCGTCTTTCCCTATTTCTATCCAAGTTTGCGGTACGTCTGGGTTTGGATATCTGACCCATAACTTCCATGACACGATAGGAATGTGAGGCTCTCTGCCTTCTATGTTCATCATTCACATCCTCTTACATTGCGAAAGCCTCATCTCTACCTTCCTCGAGATTGAACAATTTTTCCTGTTCTGCCAACAATTTTTTCTGTTTCTCATCGATTTCATACAATCTCCTTAAAGAAGACATTGTAAGAATTCAAGATTTAAAAACGATGAAGAATGATTATGAGCTAGTTTGAGTTTGGTGTATGAATTAGGATGGATGTAAGGTTTATATAGACAAAAAAAGAAATGATGAGATTCTAGATAATGTCATGTGGCACTACGTAATTGGTTGAAAATTTTATTGAAATCTTGACTAAATTATTGTAAACAGATAGTGACACGTGACGTGTCAAAATTGGTTGAAAATCTTATTGGAAATCTATCCACAAAATAGTACTTTGGGATAATGACACGTGGCGTAACAAGATTGGTTAAAAATTCTATCCGAAATTAAAACTATTTTTTTATTATTTTATAATAAAAAATTAATAATATTTTAATACAAATTGACTAGACTTTGTGTCAGCGCATTTTTTAGGAGTGGAGATACATTTGACCAATTATTGTTCATTAGGGTCAATTAGTATTTATTTGAGTGGATTAAATGAGTTAGGCGCCAACGCATTTTTAGGGATGGACTTGCTCTTAGGAGAACGAGCAGTGGACTGGACAACTCCTGCCTCAAAAAATTTGGATGGTAATTTCCTATTCGCTTGCAATGTTCTTGACAAGGGCCTTGTAAAGGGACTAGGATTCTTTACCCTCCTTTTCCATCCGCTTCCCTCATTTCCTCTCACATTCTCTATTTTATCTTTCTCTTTCAATATAAAATTAATATAAGATATTTACATAGCTTAACCGTGACCGTCCAAATAGGAGATGAGAGAAGGAAAGGAAAAAAAAAAGGAGAGAATCCTACTCCCTTGTAAAGAGATATATGCAGACATCTTTGTCCGCACAAAATTCTAGTTGACCTCCACTTGACAAGGCCTCCCTGTGGACCAAAAATCCTACCTTCTCGTAATTGAAATATCACTCCACTCCTCTATACAAACAAACCCGCTATTGATTTCTCAGAAAAATATAACAAAAATTGCTGAGTGAAAACATGCTTCCAGGAAAATCAAAATTTTGGACTGATCAAATACAAAAAATAATAAATATAATAAAAACATGATACTTACTTGGGGAAGACGACGGTTAGTTTGGAATCGCGTTGCTCTCTCAGGAACATACATATGATCATATGGCAGAAGAACATTGTGGCAGTGTACTAGGAACTGATGATCAGTTGTCTCATCTGTTATCATTCCTTCCCGGACTTCTGTTAATCCATTACGCACAACATTGGGGAAGAACACATAGTTCATGATAATGTAAGGATTTGGATTTTCAGTTCCATCAATGGTAGGAAGTTTAAGCGAGAGAGATGGAGAAACAAAGAGCGAGAGAGGGTAAGCCGAAGAAGAAGATAGAGAGCTTTGCTTGGGGTGCCCATCTGAAGATGGAAAGCTCAAATTTATAGGGCCTAGCTAGGGTAAATGTTAATTGAGTTCACGAAAGTCACAGTGCTCTAAATTTCTGCTGTTTGGATTTTCTCCTTCTTATGTACAAAGCTCAACGAAAGCATGGTTAAATGACTTAGATCATTCTCCAACACAACTTATAAATGCTCCAAGTCATTCGGCCATAGCCGTTGGATTACAAAAATCCAACTTCAACTACCCTTCAAACTTGGCCGTGGCCGTTGGATTACAAATAGCCATTGGAATCTTTAGCCTTTGTAAGCTGAGTGATATCATTTCCTTTTTTATTCCTTTGTTTTGTTGCTGTTAGTTTCATGCATGGTGCATCAATCACTTCATCTTCATGCATTCTTTCTTTACTCGGGCCTTGTTTTTTTCCATAGCACTGTGACTCTCGTGAAAACTCAAGTAACATTCAAGTAAGGATAATGTTAGGAGACCAAATTACTAAATCATATTTTATAAATTAAATGATATGGACATTAATGATTGAATTATCACTTAAAGTTGATTAACGTACTTATTTTCTACCGATGACACATTATTTGCTTTGCAAATTTAATCTCTAGCATTATCCTTAGATAATTAACGGGAGACTTTGGATGTGGTCCTTAGTCATGAATATTCTTTGATTGAAACCTTGTTAGTTTTTAATTTTTGATTGAGATCCCTGAAATTAATGTGATAATTTATTTTTATGTACGTTACTATTTTTTAAAAATTAAAAATTAGAAATTTTAGTTGTTTATATAAATGAGATTTTAAATAAAAAACCATAATTTGTGGGATTAAAAATATTAAAATATAATCTACTATTGTGTGTGTGTGTGTGTAAACATGGGTACATTCATCAAAATTAACCAAAAAAATCAAAACATGGGTATATTCTTCAAAATCACAAAAAAAAAAAAAAAATATTAAACTTAATAACATTAGTAAATTTCTTCGGTTAAACTTGACATAGATACATTTTAAAATCAAAGAAAAAAGAATGTACCCATCTAAGTTTAAAAATGGATTAAAAAAAATTGAATAGATTTTATATTAAAAAAATGGTACATTTTACATATAACAATTTTGTATATTTAAGAATGAGTACATTTTAAGATTAAAAAGTTTTACATGAATGGGTACATATAATTAGCATGGGTACATTTAGCAAAATAAAAAGTACAAATAAAAAAAATATGGGTACAAATACAAATAAACTTTAAAAAATATGGGCACAAAAAGAAATTAATATATGGGTACAAATTAAAATTGAAAAGAAAATTGGTACAAATTAAAAAAAATTACATATTAAAAATGGATACAAACTAAAACTAAAAATATATGATAAAAAATTTAGTCATAAATATAAATATACTAATTGTAATATTTTTAACATTAAATGAATATATTTAGAAATAAAAAATATTTAATTATTGAAATAATTAATGATTTAATAATACCAAGAACCTTGATCAAAAATTAAAAATAAATAGGATTTTAATCAATAGAGTAGTAAAATGAAGGATGAGAACCTAATTTTTCCGATAATTAATTGTTCACACAGACTTTGGAAAATCTGCCACAAAAAGTAAAAATATTTGGTTTTGAAGGACAAAGTAAATTTTGGATCCACTTTTTCCATGAAAAAAAGCCAAACCTGAAGATTCTCTGCAATCTTTTCTCTGATTTCATGCACGATGCATCGATCACTTCATGCATGCTTTCTCTTTATACATTTCAGGCCTTGTTTTTTCCATAGCACTGTGACTCGTGAAAACTCATCCGACATTCAACTCTCTTTCCAATTCCACGTCATTTAGGACTATTGCGGTAATCAGTTTATATGGAAAATGATCATTTCCGATCTCTTTCTCCTAATTCATCATATCAGAAGATTCGGATCATTAAAATTTGATGCAACGGCTATAAACATGGACCCACTTAGTTATAATAACTTTTGTCGTTTGATCAAATTTCAATAGTCCGGATTCCCTGATTTGATGGATTAGGAGGAAAAGATCCAGAGATGATCCCTTTCCCAGTTTATATATGCAATAAAATGACCATGTGGCACTATATCTAGATAGACATGGTGTTGAATTTTTACATGTGCATTTCGGGTTCGAAACTCATGTCTTTCTTCTTTTTTTTCCTTCGACAAAGAGACTAATTTATACAAAATTCATCTAAATTATAGAATACTTAAGCCTTGTTGCTATAAGAAAGTAATTAAGAAACTAATTTATACAAAATTCATCTAAATTATAGAATACTTAAGCCTTGTTGCTATAAGAAAGTAATTACTCAATCGAGCTGTAGTTACAAAAACTATTTTTACCTAATTATTCTTAATCGTTTTATTTAAAAGATATTACATTACTTTTGTCGAACAAGATCCATTTTTATCGACCTGGATTCTACCCATGTTACATTACCTTTATAGAGAAACTTCAACTTTCCCTAATTTCCACGTTTTTAAGTCAATTTATTTTCGTAGGAGATGCATTAACTGTATAATCAAATGAAAAAATAATAAAAATAAAATCAATTCATACCAACCTGTTTCCAAAAGAAGAAAAAAAAAACAAAGAAAAATCTTACAAGATGTCCCTATGATGTTACAAAATCCTCCAACAACCTTTAGCAGAGACACAGGCATCCTCTAAATACTCAAAACTATAATTAGCTTAACATAACTCAAGACCAACACTCTAAGGTGACAAACCCGAAATCAAAACCTTTCGGCCAATCTGGCAGTAACTGCTCTTAATTTCGAATACACTTTTCCGGCAGGGGACCCTAAGATAAGGCTGCAAAGAGAATCCCTTGCAACTTTAATATTTGCAAACGAACCCAGTATGTGAATCTTGGTGTCAGCAATCACAATCCTCGTCTTTGTAGCATTCTCGATTGCAAACTTTGTTTTACCGCCCTTACCGGACAGTCTTCCTATAGCACGAGACAAGTGCTCCCCACGAAGGGTTTTAACGTCCTTGATCTCAAACGACTCTACATAGAGCTCATCCATTCGCAAAAGGGCAATGGCATCTATAACATCAAAGCCCAGCATGAAAGCCTGAACAAAATCAGCGCACTTCTGTAGATTACTTACTTCGGGTGTGTCGGCTCTAGTCTTCAACTCAACTTTGCGACCCTTGAGATTCATACGAATGTCTATCTTCATCTGCTCATAAATTGGTGTGTATATGTCCATCCAAGCTTTCTTGAGGGGCGAATAACGATGTGGCGGGACAGAGACTTTCCGGAACTGGACTTGTCCATCTGACATCTCATGAGCCTTCAAAGGCGCAAACAATGGCTTGGGTGGTAAAGTCACAGCCGCTGAATTTGGTGCAGATGGACCTGCTTCAACTTCCATGGCTGTAAGAGCTCCGTTGGACTGCATTTTTACCTCCGCCCACTACGACCCTTCAAAGATTAATCAAAAGTTGATCAAGGGATTAATACAGCAGCACAAAATCAGATATTCATACAAACCCCGTTTACAAACCAAAACAAACATCTATTACAATAAACCTCTACTCTAATAAGCTCTATATGCCACTTAGTACTACGGTGTAGTGGTATTCCTCTTCACTCCTAGGTGACAGGTCTTAGGTTTGGTCATAAAGAAACAACCTTTCCGTTGCGCCAAGGCTCACCCACAAGCTCTATATATCAATGAAATTATAAATATACGAGACATTCTATAACGCAAAATAGCCTTATATAGTGGACTACAACAGTTATTCTCACAACCACCACCATGGAAACATTCCGGGGCCTAAGATGCAATCATGAACCTACGATTTCACAACTGCTTCAATTAATCCACTTCCAAATTTACATAACAAATATAAAAAATTAAATTAAATTTCGTATCCGAAGCGATTAAATATTCCCAATTTCATCATTAGGTGCCTGAAAAATTCTTATCGAGCACGAAAGCAGAACAGGCATCCAAATTTACACAGACCCAAATAAGAAAAAACAAAGCTTTCATCAAATTAAAACAAAGATACAGATATAAACCGATTTTTCAACATACCCATAAGATCTTAGATTATGCATGGTCTAATTCGATTGCGATTAAGAAATGATACAGAAAAGACTGGACCTTTATGATAAAAGAGAAAGTACCTGGACCGGGATGTAAGTAGAATTTGAGCTGCTTCTTCTCTCTTCCTCTGCGTCTTCGTCGATATGAGAGAGCAGAGAGAGAGGCTCGAAAGAGGAAAAGAAGGATTAACTAGGGTTTTGATTTTATATGAAGTAGGTGTTTTGGGTACGGATTGGGCCTTATTTGTTCATATAAAATTGTTTAACAGGCTAGTCCACTTGCAACCCTCCTATGGGCTTTTATTATCATTGAACTGTTATTTATTTATTTTATTTTATTTTGATAAACGATAGTGTTATTGAGTTAGATAGTTAAATGTTTAAAGAAAGGGAATTGGTGGAGATCGAAAGCATAAGTATTATTGTTTTCCCTCAATACGGTAAAGTATCATTTGCTTGAACTGTTAATTAATTACATAGTTTTTTGTTAGTCTTTAATTCTTTGATATTAGCCATATTCTAATTTAATCTATTGGGTGTCTTCAGTTGAGAATTTGAAAGATTTTAAAGGTTCATGCGTATTTAACTTGAGGTTTTAAAAGAGTTACACGGAGAGGTTCGAATTTGGATGTATGTGACAAAACATTGTTCTGGTCAATTCGGTTTCATCTAGATCACTTTTAACAATCAGTTTTTAACTCCTTAATATGTTTTGAGTGAAAGATATTGTAAAGATTACTCTTGATCTTACTAACCCCGACAAACAAACAAGACCGTTGAATTATTGTGCTATATCTGATCATTTTAGAAGTCACATGAGAGTAGTTTGCTCAAAACAGATTTATCAACATGTAACTTTTAGATCTGATATTGCATTGTTATGTGAAAAGAAACTTACATTTGACATTGTATTGTTCGGTCAAAATATCACTAGGAACGATTGTTTAAACTTACACATGAATTACACGAAGAACAATTACTGTACTTAATTTTCTTCAAATAAGGACGTCCTTAACATATATAAAACTAATATTGTTGTCGAGGTTTATCATGCGGAATAATAATCCGACATATTTCTTCTATCGTCCTTGTTTAAATGTTGTCACAAACTAAAAGCTAAGAACATGTTTGGTACTTTACTTGAATCCAACTTTTTAAAATCAAAAATAATTTTCAAGTTTTAGGTCTTAAAAACTTGTTTGGTATGACTATTTTCAAAAACTGAACTCAAGACTAACTCAAAAATATAGTATATTATCTAAAAACACAAAAAGTGAGTTTTTAGAGTTTTTAAACTTAAACTCGCTCATTTCTTTTATCTCCCTCCTCTCCTCTCACTCCAAATTTATCTCTCTTTTCTTCTTTCTCTCTCCCCCTTCTCTATTTGTTTTTTACCTTTTTGGTCTCTCCTCCAATATCCCTCTTTATTCTCTCGGTTCTTTTTCTCACTTCTCTTCCTCTCTATCTTCTCTGATCTTCTCAATTCTTTATCTTTCCTCCAATCATCTCTTACTTTCTTTCCTCCTCTCTCTCTCCTCTTTCTCTCCCCTTTTTATGGATCTTTTTGTCCAGTTTAAGTTGTAAGATTTAAAAATTTTAAATCGCATACCAAACAAGTTTTTGAGTCTTAAAGAAAATTGTTTTCAAGAAAAATTCTTAAGAAATGTTTTGAGAAATTATAAAAAATTTCAAATAAGATACCAAACAAACCCTAAGTAATCTCGTGAATCAGTACAATCCATACATGTAGAATCATGTCTAGAAGTTCTGCGAAAACCTTAAAAGTCCGCAGCCTCGATGATTAGGGCGAACATATCTTCCGCTGCTGCCCTCGATCATCACGGCGAACATACTTCCACTACAGCCTGCAGCAGCGGAAGATAAGCTTAATGGTTATCTTAGCAATGACAGATAACAGTAGTCATACCCAAGATACATAGTTATTCAATGACTAACAATATAAAAGTACTGCTTCTAAGAAGAATAAAACATCAAACACACATTAAGCGAAAGCATCCAATCCAGAAATATTTTTGGTTTCCAAAAACTCGCATCGTCCCTAATTAATAATGATGATCATGTGGTATAATCCTGCCAAAGTTTTTCTCCTCAGTTTTATCATGCTTCACCTCATGGAACGTAACAAAAGCAAAGGAAACGAGATCATCGAAATATCTAAACTTACAAAATTCCGCAGCCTCAAGACTTGCAGAAAGGATTGAGTTGCCACCAGAGTCGTTTGAGATGGAAACTCGAAACACCGCTACGCGTGTATAAGGAACAGAGTCGTCAGCAGCCTTGCCATCGTACACGAACCACATACGGTCATCATCAAATCGACCTATGTGACAGTTAAACGGGGGTAAGAAAGGACAGAATATTGGCCCAAGCTCATGCAGAACCTGATACGGCTTGGGGTCAGATTCTCAGACCCTCGCAGGTTCTCAGACCACTATATTAACAAATGAGCTAACTGAAATGAAATTTGGATTTCAAACCAAAAAATATGTTCTTAATTTTAAACTCTGCATTTATATTTGAGTTTCTTGACCCGTTCATCTAATTCCCGAAAAGATCCAAGCTTTCAGTTTGATACTAAGAACAACTGAGATCAAGCAAATGTAAACACTAGAGCTAAGTTAAACTTCTCGAAAGAAAATCGCAGATAGCGAAAGGAATTTACCTGAGTCGTGTTAGAACATACACTTCCGGTGTCAAATTTAAGAGGAAAAGTGAACGACCATTAGTTTTATGTGTCAGCTATCACAACTTGCATTCAACAAATTCAACCAAACAAGAGCCAAAGAAAACTAAATTACACCTCCCCAACACAAATTATTATAATCAAGGCATTTCATTAACAACTCGAGAACATATCCTAATGAATGCCATGAATAAGTTTTAGATGTCGGTGATTTTTGTAGAGATGATTTTGAGAGAAACTTAAAGGATGAATGATTGGATCGTCATAACACATTACAGAGTAGGCCCTAAGAAGTGTATCAAAATTTGTGTCAAAAAATGTCTCCCAATATATAATATAGACACATGTTTTAAAATATTTTTTCATGACTCACTTCATAATATATTTCAATAATACAACCGTCTAACTTTTAGATCGTTGCTCATAATTTTAGATATGCAATCTTACCATGTGTATTAATGAATTCAATTTGACACTTTGATAGTATAACATGCCAATTACAATAACTTAGAGCATCTCCAATAGATTCTCTAAATGAACTCGTGCTAGATTTTGTCACAATTCCTATCCACCTTCTATTTTGTCACAATTCCTATTCACCTTCTAGGATAGGAATTCTCCAAAAAGCTCCTAAATCTAGAAAATGAGAAAGTAATTCCTAACATTAATTACTAATATTTTAAATAAGAGCTCCTTTGCTATTGGTCAACCATGGAAAGGGGTCCTATTCGGATTCCTTCCACCAAATTCATCAATTTGGGCTCTTGAAATTTAATCAAACGGCTAAAGTTATTATAATTTTTAAAATAGACCCATGTTTTTAGTCGTTGGATTAAATTTCAAAAGTCCGAAATAATAGATTTGATGAATTTAGTGAAAGGGATCCTGTAACATTCCGGCCCGGGACGGATCACTTCCCGGGCCAGTTCCACCACCGTAGCACAATATTGTCCGCTTTGGGCTTACCATTCCCTCACGGTTTTGTTTTTAGGAACTCACGAGCAACTTCTCAGTGGGTCACCCATCATGTGAGTGCTCTGGCCTTATTCTCGCTTAACTTCGGAGTTCCTACGGAACTCGAAGCCAGTGAGCTCCCAAAGGTCTCGTGCTAGGTAGGGATGAGAATATACATTTAAGAATCACTCCTCTAGACAATGTGGGATGTTATATGATTGAAGTAGAAATTTTTAAAGAGCTCCAAAACTATTTTTTGATCTTATTAACTAAAACTGAATTAAAAATATTTAAAACATAATTAAAGATGCTTTTAATATTTAATTAGCTTCTAAACACGAGTATCGCAAGATTTTTTTAATCACGCGCACTACGACCCATTACAAATTTGTAAACTATTTAAGTAAATAGAAAAACAAACTTGTAAATTATTCAACTGAAGTACCAAAAACAAAAATAAAACGATAACATAGAGCAACTTGCATGACTTCCGTTTCCCGTTTCATGTAAGTCCTTCCACATTAGCTCAGCTGCGAGTCCCTCTGCAACCCCCACCTTCTAATCCTCAATTGAAACTGCGCCACCGCCGCCAAAACCTTCACAGTCTGCTCCGGACTCAACACCTCCACCACCTTCCTCACCGTTGACCCGCGAAGACCATCGGCGCTCTCGAAAACCCCCAGCATGGCCGTCTTCAGCATCTCCATCGCCATATCCAGCGATGATATCTCCCCGTCCATCTGCCTCCCCACCCTCCGCACCAGCGCCAGAATAGGCGGCGCCGCCACGCTCTCCTGAATCCTCGCCATTGTTTCCGAGAGATCCCGCTCCCCCCGCCTCGTCTCGCCCTTCACCGCGTCCATCTCCCTCGCCTGCTCCGCCGTCAAGTCCTCAACCGAGCTGTCCACCATGCGCAGCACCATTGACGGCTTGAATCCCGCCAACCAGAGCAAGCTCCGCTCGAAGGAGCTGAGCCACGGCGGCGAAAACAAGACGAACACATCCTCCTCCGCCGTTCTGGCTTTCTCAGCGAAGTACTGCTGGTAGTGAGACAGAACCTGTTCGATTAAGTTCCTCTCTCGGGCATCCTTGTTTTCGTAGTCCGGCGATTCGACCAGTTTAAGGAGCTGGTCCAGAAACGTTTGCTGGCGGTCCAGCCAGCCGCCGAGGAACTTGACAAACCGTTCCCTGGCCGGGTGAGCAGCGGCCATGTTCTCGGAAAAGAGCCAACCAAATTGTCTGTGTCTTATGTCAAAAAACGGGATGTCACTGCCTCAATTTATAGAGAAATTTTTCAGTGTGATCGGTACACGTGATACATCACATGTTATTGTACAAATAGTGGTATATATATGCTGAAAAGTTAATAACTTGACAAATAAAATTTTCACCACTTCTATTAAAACATGTTGTATACTACTTGTGTTCTCGTCACAACTAAAATTTTTTGCAATTTATATGGTTTCGATTTCCCTTTTTGGTAATTTTCTGTCTTTTTGGCATGTGAGTTTTGGAGTTACTTTCCTGAAAAGGCAACTTCATTGGTGTGCGATGCGGTTGCTTCGTTATGAAGGCTTTAACTTGTTTGGTAAGGCGGGGAAGATCACATAGAAAGTGCTCTTCAAGTGTAGGCGGTGAAGCAATGGCAATTCTGTGGGCTTGGTGAATGACTTGCATGAAACGATTTCATCATCGTTTTGACATTTAAATATACTGTCAAATATAAATTAATATTCTATTATTGAACTATATAATGTAAATTGATATTTAGTTAAAATGATTTCTGAGATTTGAGTCGATAGAAGTGATTATTGAGTCTGTTTTCTTATGTGAAACATCTCTGTTAAATAAAAACCAAAATGACAAAATATCTTAATTTGATAAACAATGGCCAAATATTAGACAAGAATTGAGGGTATTTTGTCATTTTCTCTCATTTAATGGAGATTTTTCGAATGACCAAATAATTTACACTAGACAAACTTAAAGATTAGTTCTATGTATTTTAAATTTCAGAGACTAAAGGGAAGGCGTATGTCAATTTCAAAAATCATTTTAGCTAAAAAACTGCGTAAACTCATTTTATATAAGTTTATCTTTCTAAGTATTGGTAGCACAGTAATATTAACTTTACAATTAGATAATGGACTAACATAGAACGAGTTGATAATTATAAAAATATATGAATCACTAAATGTCTATGTTACATAACAGTGAATTCGTTCTATATAAGTTGATATTTTCGAGCTATCCAACCTTTTTTATTTCTTTTGGAGGGTTGCAAGTGTCGAGCAGTAAGAGAGACACGTAATTGAAACGGTGGGAGACATTCAAGTCTTCTGGCTTGGTGATATTTTTGCTTGGCCCACGGTGGGACCCACAACCGACGATGTCATAAAATGATATACCTATCCAAATCGGGTATTCCACCTCCTATTACTATCTTTGGTACTGGAATCAAGCACGTTCTTTGAGACGAGAACTTTTGCGCCACCTGGTGCTCCTACCAATCGTTGTTAGACACTTGGCCACTTTACTTACGGACACATGGCATGTCGACTGATTGACAAGTGGCATATTTATGTAACTAACTACTGGAATTCATTATTTTCATTATTTTTCTATTACCACATAATCCAGGTTACGGAAACTGAATACGATGATCTTTATTAACTTAGCCTATTGACTCACCTCACACAACCAATGCCTTGAATTTTTCTTTCTCGCTCTCTTGAACGGTACGAATTTCCAGTACGAATATCATGATCCTTAAATTGTAACAGTGATTCAACGCCATATTATGGGATACGTCCATACAGACAAACTCGTATAGAAAAATGTAGCATTATCATTTCACTCCAAATGCAACACGCAAGGGCACCTTGAGCCATTGCTTTCATCAAATGGTCACTGAATTTGAAACCACCCTTGCTCTAGCACATGTAGTATCTAAGGTATCGTTTGGTCTGCAGACAAGACGAGACGGAACGAAGAGGGAGCAAAGATGCTCTCGGATGAAAATAAGGAGGAAAAAGAAGAAGACGGAGAGGTTATAATTTTATGTTCTACGAATGTAGAATAAGTCATTCCATGGGATGAGGCGAAACGAAAATTCATCCAAAATTCGTTCCATGAAACAGCGCGTTCCACCCGTTTTAGGCACCTCAAACGTGAGACGGAACGCCTTGTCCTACTCCGTTCCGTCCCGTCCCACATACCAAACGGTACCTAAGGGTGCGTTTGGTACGCAGACGGGACGGGACGGAACGGGACGAAACGGGACGGGACGAGACGGAACGAATGTGTAATTTTTGAAAAAGACATGGGGTATATTTGTCTTAAAATGGTAAAACATTGTGTTCCACAGACGTGGAACAAACCCGTTCCAGGGGGGGAGGTGGAACGCAAAAATACCCAAAATCTGTCCCGTGGAACAGCCCGTTCCACCCATTTTTGGCGCACCAAACACGGGACGGAACGCCTCATCCCGTTCCGTCCCGTCCCGTCCCACGTACCAAACGCACCCTAACAGCAACTACAAGAGAAACATCATCAAGGAACTTTCGAAACTCAATCCGAAAAGGTCAATCTAGCAGGGGCTAAAGAACAGATTCAAAGTAAAACGTAATACTCAAAGAAAATCACGGCCAAAGGATTGGAGTTTGGAACAGCAAACAGTTTTCGTATAAATTGCAACCCTCGTTCGCGGGTCTCGATCAAAAAGACTAGATCAAAGGGTAACAAATACATAATATTCGAACTTGAACCCTTGTAATTGAGTTCTCAAACTAAGCGTATTCCAACAATGAAATGAATTTTTAAGGTATTGAGTTTACTCAGCCTCCGAAAAGGTACCCGGCTGCTTGTTCTTCGTTACCGTCAAAAAATTTAAGAGCTTGTATTACCGCATCTCTCCCAAACCCTAGCTCAACAAGCTTTGCAACTTTAGCTTCAAAATCAGATCCCTGCAACCAGCATTGTCAGATATAAAAATTTCATTCGATGATCCAACTTATCTGTATGGCGAACCCCGAAGGAGTGAAAACCGTAGTTGATATCTTAGAACTGAGATTAAGCAAACGTAAACACTACAGCGTAATTAAATTTCTCAATAGAAATTAGAAAATAGTGTGTTTGCTAAAACAAATTACCTGAGTCGGGTTAGAACGAGCACTCCCTGTGTCAAGTTTAAAAGGAAAAGGAAACGACCATCAGTTATATGCGGGAAAAATTCATGCATGAACTGCTCTCACAATTTGCAAGTAACAAATTCAACCAAGAAGAGCAAACAAACTAAATTTCACACCTTGACACAAATCACCATCAAGGCATCCCATAAACTCTATAATTCTCATTTAACCGATTCAACCAAACAAGAGCAAACAAACTAAATTGCACCTCCCGACACAAATCATAACCAAAGCATCCATTAACGACTATGAGCAATATCCAAACTAACCAGAAGATTGCCCTCCAGATGGCACAGTTTTGCTCGTATCTGCTGTTCCCGGTGTAACCTGAAGAATACCATATTAAAGCAAAATGAGCAATAATCCTAATGAATGCTATGATCCAAAAAACCATGTAACCTAAAGAAATAAAAGTCGAAGGTCAACTACCTTACTATATTTGAAACTTTTATAAGACAACATTATCCTAATGAATGCTATGATCCAAAAAACCATGTAATATCCATAGATTCTACACTTAACAATAAAATTAGGAGGGGATGGGAAGATATGGAAAAAACCTAAAAAAATGGAGCAAATACAAAGCCTCATACAAGATGATCCAATTGTTTGCAAGGACAACACCAGAATTTTTATCCTAATTTTTTTTATTATTAGACAATACATTTCAGAATCAGAAACTGCAAAAAGATTCCTTGACTTCAGGAAAAGTATAAATTCGAGTAGACTTACAGGAGCTCCTGAGCTGGATGCTTCCTTGGCAAACCTTTCTTCATCGAGAAAACGAGATGGGATGTCTTTTTCTAAAACAAATACATAGATTTAGATTTTTCTTTAACAAGGGACCATAAATATTCCAGAATATTTAAATATCCATACATAGAGATCATGGGACCAACCTTGCAAAAATGGTACAGAAACTTCTCCACCGCCAACTCTCAAAACATTTTCATTCAAATCTATAATGCACTGATGACATCTTTAATGTTAGAAGACTAACAAATGGGGCTCCTCCATTAATTAAAACCATTGAGAAAGACAGCTTGCACAAAATTTGGAGCATGGATTCTACCTGATGCTTACGGAGCATATCCAACCCAAAGAGAAACTCCATATTTGGAGCATCGAGAACCATGAATGAACAAGGGTAAAATATACTTCCAATCTACAGAAACAATGTTAAAAAGCCTGTCACTCAAGTAAGAATTTCAGACAGTATAATATGATATGGATTGCTTATTACAGGCAGCTACCTTGATAGGAGCTACATGTATTCGACCCAATATCTCGGATTGACCAACTCCATGAGCAATGCCCTTATAACGTTGATCTAAAAGCCTCAACAATCTAGAGAGTTCAATGCCCAAAACAACACATCGTTAGGTTTTTGCTCCTGTAACTCTCATGTTATTCATAAAAATATGGAAGAAAAAATAAACAGAATTTGTAATTAAAAAACCAGCAGTAAAGCATTCAAAAATTGCCTTCCTTTTTACAAAACTTATCAGTAGGGTTGGTCACCAAAGCAAAATTTATGTGGCTAAAGTTGCCAAATCAACATCAGTATTCATAAAAATATGAAGGAAAAAAAATCAACAGAAATTCAAATAAAGAAAACAGCAATAAAGCATTCAAAAGTCTCCTTTTTCACATGAACTTATCTAAGGTTTGGTCGCAAAATTATTCTAAGTGGCTAAAGTGGTATGATATAAGTAGCTAGTGAAAACAACCGACTGCGATTGTTATCGGACACCATACAGTTCCTACTGTTCTACATGATCCAAATCTACATCGGCATTCATCTCAAAATCATGCATGCATATTTATTGTGTATGGGCCACTGAATGTCCACCATGAAACACATATTAAATGAGTCGTTTGTGTAAATATACTTTCACAACCAGTAAAGAGAAAATTACTATTTAATAGTTAAAAATATCTCATACCCACAACGCTCGGCACAACTTTTAGATATAATAGTTGACTGCGCTCCACTATCAACAAATGCCTGGATACAAGTG